ATACATTCTAGGTTGGTGGGGTTTCTCTTTCAACATTGTAAATATTTCATTCCAGTCCCTTCTTGCTTGGTTTCTAATCAGAAATGTAATTCTCATTCTTGTTCCTCTATAGCATGTATTTTTTCCTCTGGCTCCTTTCAGTGACTTTCTCTTTGACTTTGGTTTTCCACATCTTGAATATAATATGCCTAGGTACAGACTAAGCTTGAAAAATCTATGGCCTGCGGGCTGTATATAGCCCTGGACGGCTTTGAATGCAACTCAACACAAATTTGTAAACTTTCTTAAAACAGCTTGAGGGTTTTTTTGCAATTTTTAAGTTCATCAGCCATTGTTAGCATTAGTGCCTTTTATGTGTGGCCCAAGACAATTCTTCTTCCAGTGTGGCCCAGGAACACCCCTGGTATAGACCTTTTGGTATTTATTTTGCTTGGTATTCTCTGAGCTTCCTGCTCTAAGAGCGGGTTTGGTGTCATTAATTTTGGATAATTCCCAATCATTATTGACTCACATATTTCTTCCACTCTTTTCTCTTTCTTCTCCTTCTGGTATCACCATTATACATGTTATTACAAGTTTTGTAACTGTCCAACAGTTCTTGGATGGTCTACTTTTTCATTCTCTATTTTCTTTGCTTTTCAGTTGAAGAAGTTTTTATTAACAGTTCTTCAAGCTCATTTATTCTTTGGCCTGTCCAGTCTCCTGATAAACCCATCAAAGGCATTTATTTGTCACACTGTTTTTTGACTTGTATCATTTCCTTTTAAATCTTCCTTAGCGTTTCCATATCTCTGCTTACATCACCCTTTTACTCTTGCATGCTATCTGCTTTTCCATTAGAGCCCTTAATATATCAATCATAGCTACCTTAAATTCCCTACTTGAGAATTACAAAATCTGCATCATATGTAAGAATGGTTCTGATATCTCCTTTGTCTCTTGTTCTTTCTTGCCTTTTAGCATGCTTTGTAAATTTTTGTTGAAAGCTAGACATAATATATCTGGAGGAATGTATAGAAACTGAGGTAATCAGGCTACTTGATTCATGTCAATCTGGCTGGAAGTTAGGCTGTGTTTAATGTTTGCTGTAGTTATCGGTGTCAGAGGCTTCAATCTACTATTCTTGCTTTGAGTTTTCACATTGTCATTGTCTTTGGGTTTCCCCTGAAACTCCTTTTAAATAAAATGTAGTCTGATAATAATGGGTCACAGCTGGCACTAGGGAAAGGCAGTCTCCTAATTTAACAGAACCCTGAAACTGGTGATCAACAGCTTGCCGATAAGATCTCAGGAGTTGGGCAAGTGGGTTCAAGCATGTGCACTAACAGGCAAAATGGCAGAGTTTAACTGGTATATGACCTTCTAAGAACATTTAATGGGTAAGAGAAGAATGCTTCAAGTAAGCATGCATACAACTCTAGTGAACACACTACGCATATGGCCCTGCCCTAGTGCTGGCACGCCACTGAGCATGCGGACCGCCCACCTGAGGGAAGAATTAGGCAAGAAGTAATGCAACCCCGGAAGCCTGTCAACATATAAGACCCAAAGTCAAAGATCCAACCACGCACTTGATCTCTCAAGGCACTTGCTTGGCCTTCTTCCAAGTGTACTTTTACTTGCTTTTGTTCCATTTATAAAGCTTTTAAATAAATTTTTCCTCCTGCCCTAAAACTTGCCTTGGTCTCTCACTCTGCCTTATGACCCTTGATCGAATTCTTTCTTCTGACAAGAATTAAGGTTGCTGCAGCCCCCTGCAGATTTACCACCACTAACAACGGGAAAGCTAGAGGGGGCTGGAGTCTTCTAATTGTCCTTTCCGTAGAACAGATGAGGCTCTGGTAAAGTAGTTTCCCTTGAGAGAAGGCTTTTGTTAGGGAAAATGCTGAGGGCAGTTTTCAAAATGGTTACTTTGCCCCCTCCTTCCGCACAAAGCAAGAGGGAGTTTTAATCCAATCCTTGTCCTAAGAATCTGCTGCAGCTCTGAAAGGTAAAACTCCCAAAAGTGTAAGGGCACCATATGAGTGGTCTCCCAGGAGTTTCTAACTCTCAAGCTAATTCACACTCAGTTTCCAGCAAGTCATCAATGACCATTTTAAGTGTTCCTACCATTTACTGCCTCATGAGGATTTCTGTTCCTAGCATGCTGATCTCAGTTGTGATATTTAGCATTTGCCTATCCAGTTTTGGGGTGGCCATTTGCTTTGTGACCTCCATTTTCTGATGGATATTTTAAAGGCTGTTAATGTTCCATTTGTTCAGCTTTTTTCTTGTGAGGACAGTTGTGATTGACTTCTAAGCTGTTTACATGTCACAGATGAAACCAGAAGTGTTAAGAAATAGCACACAAAAACAAAAACTTTCTGGAATATTCAATATTTTGAGGGTAAAAGGTCCTGGGACTAAAGTGTTTGATTGCCACTATGCAAAGGAACTCTGTTAGCAACAGTAGATGCATATATGATTCTACTCTAAAATCTACAACAAGTTATATATAATACATTTCTCTTTAAAACGGTCAAGCAAAAAAAAAAAAAACACTGTGATATTGGTGGAAAGATTTCAAAGATATGCCTTATTCTTTATTTCAAGTGAAAAAATAAAAATAAAGCAAAAAATACCATTTGCCATTCATGACAAGAGTAATTTATTACATTAAAATTGAGGTCACGTAGGCACCAGCACAACACCCTGGCTTTGTAACCATTTGAAGGGTTCTTTCTGCCTGCAACACAAAGACCATGGCATTGTAGTAAAGAAAGAGATTAATAGACATGAGGCCAGCCACACCATGAGAGAGACAGATTTAGTACTCAAATCATTCTCATCCAGAGCTTATAGGTTAGGAATTTTTCAGAGGCAGTTTGGGGGAAGTGGTGGAGGTCACTAGGCTTGCTGCTGATTAGTTGGGGCAGAGATGAAATCATAAGGGGTGAAGCCGTCCTCTTGTGCATTGAATCACTTCTGGGTGGGGCTGTAGGAATGGTGGGTGTCAGACATGCAAAAAAACCTGAAAAGATATCTCAAAAGGTCAATCTACAATAGTTGTGTTATCTGCAGGAATAATTGGGGAAGTTGCATATCTTATAACCTTCTGAATAATGACTGATAATAGCTCATGTCTGCACCTTAGCAGGACCCACGCTCCTCTCCTCCTGCCAACCTGATGCAAAAGCAGTTGAGTTTGGGGGAAGGCTTATTATAATTTAAACTACAGCCTAAATGTCCCAAAAGCCCAAGAATAATCAAGGCAAGATTAGGGGTGGGTTAGCTCAGATCTCTTTCACTGTCATAATTTTCTCACTAACTTTTGCAAAGTTTTTTCAGCTTTGAAAATAAGATTGAATTTGCCAGTTTCACCTCTTCCTACTCCTGTTATACTGTGATAGAGTTCCCAAACAACCTCTATTGCTATCTCTATCAATTCCATACAACAAAGCTATACTCGATCTCTACTAGGCACAAAACAATTCCTAATTTCAACAACTGTACAGATGTTTGGGAAAACAAATGTGAGAATTATTTGGTAAAGCTCCATACCACAAGAGAATTATAGTATCTAAAAACTCTAAGTGTAGCAGAGAGAAATTACTGACAAATTCTCAAACAATGTGGAGGGCTGTGCTTGGCACTAAATGATGAACAGAATTTTTCTTGCTATCCAAAAGAAGGGGCATTCTAGGTAGAGGGAAAAGCATATACAAAAGCAGGTGGGTCTAGGAAGCAGGCATAAGTCAACAATAAAGGGCTTTGTATGCCTGTTAAGAAGTAATGGTGGCCAGGTGCGGTGGCTCACGCTTGTAATCCCAGCATTTTGGGGGGCGGAGGCGGGTGGATCACTTGAAGCCAGGAGTCTGAGACCAGCCTGGTCAACATGGCAAAACCCTGTCTCTCCTAAAAATACAAAAATTATCTGGGCCTGGTGGTGCACGCCTGTAGTCCCAGCTACTCAGGAGACTGAGGCAGGAGAATTGCTTGAACCCAAGAGGCGTAGGTTGCAGGAGCCGAGATCACACCACTGCACTCCAGCCTGGGTGACAGAGTGAAACTCCATCTCAAAAAAAAGTAATGGTGATGGCGATTCAGTCAGAAAGCATCAAGCACCAGGACAATCGATAAAAGAGTAGAGGGCAGTGCAGAAAATGAAATGCAGGTGAGGAGATAATGGCTATCGACCAGTAAAGAAACTCCTGGAATTGTTCCAATGAAAGCTAGTATTTCAAAACAGAGGCAGAGATGGAGAAAGACAGGAAAGTTTTTATTTAAAAACCAAAAGTAAAACAAGACTGGGTGATATATCGAACATACGAGATTGAAAGAAAGGGGAGACGACAAGATGCTGTAGGTTTTCCGCCTTATTTAAGGAAGTCAAAATCCAGCTTATAGTATTGATCTTGCTCACGAAGTTTCAGATAGGTAATTCTAAAAAGCCTATTTTCCTTTAGACTGTCCAATTATGATAACATGTATCAAAGCTAACTTATGACCACAATAGGCAGGGCATAAAGAACAGAAAGTCTGGTGTACACAACTTAGAATGCATCTGGAGTACAAAAGGAAAAAAGAGGCGAGATCTACTTCCTATCCCATGGGTCATCTGGAAAACTCCCTCAGGCGACCGTTCCATCCAAACACCTGGGATCTTTCTCAACCTTTGGATTTCTGTCACGAGGGCGTCCAGCAAAGTCCTGGCAGCGCCGTAGGATCAGGGAGCATCAGCTGAGACGGCAACTGGCAAAGGCCCGTGTGGCCCAACGCCCACCACTAACGCCGTTCAGTATCTACCTCTACTGCCCTCTAACGCGAGAATGTGTGTGAGGGAGGCAGGGAGAGTTCCGAGTAAAATTAACCCGAATCGACAGCTCGTCTGCGGCGCTAGCTGCCACAAATGCTGCAGACCCGACGGAGTGGAGGCAGAAAAGGCCCTGGCGTCCACTCGGGAGAGAACGAGGTCAGGAGTCCGTCCTGCACATCACGTAGAGCGAAGAGACCACACCTACCTGACCACAGATGCTCCCCATCCGCCCAGCAACCGTGGTCCATGCCGCCTGCTATTTGTCCACCGCCGGCGTCGAAAAACCACCCTGATGCCCGCGCGCAGTGCACCGCGCCTGCGCATAGCCTCCAGAGGCTGAGCGCGGGTTGCCAGTGCGCATACTCGGCTCTTTCGCGCTTCCTGGGCACCATTTGAACTCCGTTGAGTCCTGTTGGTTTATGCGCATGCGTGTCTCTGGTGTCTGTTCTCACCAAAGCCAGAGGCGGCTGGCGTTTGAAATGGTTTGAGCCGGGAGTCGCTCTGCCTGCGCGTTTCTACGCTACACTGGCCGACACTCAAGCACTGGCAGAGAGGTTCCGGGGCTGGCCTGGCAGGAGGCGGCGCAATGGACACGCGGTCCGAGGACGGGGGCCTCAACCGCCAACCCACGCTTGCCTCTTCCTGGGATGCCATCTGCAGGCGAGGCCCTGACTCACAGCCTCCTCACCCGGGCCGGTCTCGGCGCCCGCGACTTCGACTGGGAGGAGCTGCTGGCGCCACCTGCTCCAGGGTGCGCCGGGCCGCCGGGGACCGGGTCGCTGCGCTCTGCGACTGCCGCGCTCCTCGGGGAGCCGTGAGGGTCTGAGCCCGGAATCCAGGGAGCAGTTGGTGTCAGGTCTCTGCGGGGAAGTGGGGCTGCGAGGTAGGGGCGAGGACCGGGGTGGGCGGAGGCGGGGTGGGTCTGGCCAGGAAGTACCCGAGGCCCCGGGGCATGAGCAGGGGAAGGTGACCAGGACTCGGAATTTCATAAACGTCCCCGTCAGGCGTGACAGGTCGTCAGGGCTGCTGTCTAAGTCAGTCCACCCGTCTACCCTGAAACAAGCCACCTCCTCTTCACCAAAACAGGCTGTGTAAAAAGCCCAGCTATGGACGACCGCCGTCGACTTAATTTCGAAAAAAGATACACTTTGTCTTTTATTGTGTTCTGTTCCTACTGCTATGCACACATTAGGGGTCCAGTAATTTATCCGAGAATCAATTGCAGGGAACTGAGTAGAAGGTTGATGATTGAGGAAAAAATAGAGGGGGAAGCCCTGATGTGTGATGTCTCCATTTCCTTATGAATTCTGTGTTGAGCATTTGTTAGAGTAGACCCCACGGCCTAACAAGTGGGTTATGAGCCGTGTTCAGAAACTATACTGTGTGATGTTTTCACCTGTTTTCTTAGCCAGGATCTGGTGATTTAGAAGAGAAGCTTGAACAACCAAGATGAAAACCTCTGCTTCCTTTACCTGAGGTGTGGCCCCGATGGAGGTGAAGAAATCGCTTCTATTGGCATTTTAAGTTCAGCAAGAAATATGGAACTGTACTTAGGAGAGGAGTACTGTGGAACCAGTAGGGGCAAGAATGTTTGTACTGTCCTGGATGACAGGTGTGTGACTTGTACACAGGAAAAAGTGTTCTTCTAATTGGTGTTTTTATTGTCTTCACCTTTTGCAATATTGATTGATTCTCTGACATTGATGCTTACATTAGAGAAGAGAAGATAAAAACCTACTATGGGCATAGAAAGTTAGACCATTAAAGCATATTCTAGGCAATCTAGTTCAGCTTCCTCATTTTTAGGAATGCGGAAATTTAGAGCTAATAAAGGGGAGGTGAGCCTGGAGAGGGTCATACTAGTTAAAGTGTCCAGGCAAGAGTGCAGTCCTTATTTCTGCTTCTTGACTCTCTCCATAAACTCACGATGGTCTGTTTTCCAGAAATTAATTTGACAGTCAGTCTGGAACTTTGATCACATATTTTGTAAGGAACCTACAAGCCCAAGGTTGTGCCACACCAGCCTATTTAGTCCATATTCCATGTGTTATAGTTTGATCTTTAGTCCCTTATAGGAATCATGTACACTAATCTCGCCTTAATATAAATCAAAACGTCAATTATTTTATATATTGTGCATATTAGAAATAATAAATACATGACACAGTGTTATTAATGAGGTCACTTGAGAAGGGATCTCAACTGTTTGTCCCCTACCAGGCAAACTGAATCTCATAATTTAAAATGACCTGGAAACAATTTATTTTTTACTGCAGCTGTTTAAAATGATAATTTTTACAAGTGAAAAAATTTTTATTCTATTTTATTTTTAGTAAACACGAAATTATTTTCTACAAAAATTACTTAATAGTGGCATCCTCCACTCATGCCTGTAAAATAAAGGTAGGTCATCATTAAATTTTAACGAATTTGACAATTGTGAATGTTTATGTATAATATACGTACTGTTGGTTTGTTCATACAGTTAGTCCAACTTGGTCCCTGTTTATATGAAACTATGGTGCCAAGAAAACCACGTTTTGGCTCCATTATATTTTAAAAGACAAGAATTAGAGAAGTTGCAGAGAAAAGCACCTAAAATCTGTTTGCACTGGTACCTTGAATATGAAAAATATTGTTGAGGTGAACTTTAGTAATGTCATCAGAGTCTAAGAGTACTGAGCTACAAATAGCCCAAAGTAGTAATGCAATTCTGTTACTCACTGGCTGAGTGACCTTGGGAAAATCTCTACATTTCCTTGGACCTACTTCATGGGTAAATTAGAGGACTAAAGAAAATAAAGCATTGTATTCTCTTTGTCTCCACATTACTTCATACAGGGTTGTGAGACTTACTTTAAGAAAAAAGTTGGCCAGGCATGGTGACTCACGCCTGTAATCCTAGCACTTTGGGAGGCCAAGGCAGGGTGATTCCTCGAGCCCAGGAGTTTGAGACCAGCGTGGGTGTCTTAGGGAGACCCTGTCTCAAAAAAGAAAAAAAGAATAAAAAGAATAAGGAAAAAGTTAATGATTTTTGTAGCAGGCAGGTAACAAACTTACAGATCAGATTGTTCCAAGACATTGTTTGAGGTAGTATATATTAATAGCTTCCAAAGTCACTTAAATAAAGTAATTTATTCAACAAATATTTGAGTGCCTGCTGATACCAGATACAGACAGTAGCAGGCATTTAGGAAGCAGCAGTAATAAAATAAAATGGAGCGACTACCCTTGTGTTGCTTATATTCAGATGGGATGAGACAGGTAATGAGCACACTCTGAATAAAACTGTGTTTTATTTGGTGGTGAGAAAGGCTATAAGGATTAAGAAGCAGAAAGGGGATAATAGGGAGGATGAGAGGCGAGTGTTTAAATTTAAGTGTTTCCTTAACTGTGAAGGATAGTCACGTCTTTGGTGCCATGGGTCGGGATTGACCTGTGTCTTTGGGTGACATATGGTTCTGTGTGTCTCTCTGAAGATGAATATTTTTTGTAACTATTCTATGGAAGTATGTGTGAGTACAAATGGTCATTTCATTTAGGAAAATCCCAAGCTGCCTAAAGCTTATTCTGAGGCAGCAGAATATGAAAGTTAAAAAAATAGTTACTGATGCATATTTCAAATACTCAGTGGTAGGTACTGGAAAGTTTAGCACATAATCACAGCCACCATGTGAAATCATTGATATTATCCTCCCTCATATGAATTCTGATTCGTGTTTTGGCATTTGCCCAGGATCATACAGGCTATACAGAGCAAACTCATAATTGAACTCTGGTTTATCTCATTCTAAATCCTGTTTCCTTTCCACTTTGATACTGTTTTTGGTGCCACACATGAAATGTGTTTTGGTTCATAAACATGGATGAAGAGAGGCAGCGTAAAGCGTTGGAGAGGGCACTATTATAACAGTCAGAAGGACTAGGTTCTAAGCCAGACTTTTACTAATTGGGTAATCCTTTGACAAAGTAGAAAATTACCTCAAACTTCATCTTTTTAAATGTGTAAACCAGTGGGTTACGTGAGACCATCTTGACTCTGCCTATAATTCTAAATGGCTCATTTATATTAGTAATTCAGTAAACACTTTGAATAGGCTTCTAAACACCCTTATTTTGTGTTAAAGAATATTACAGTAAGCTGCTGTGTGTTAAAGTCTCAGATTGACATAGTTTATTTTGAGTTGCTTAAATAAATGCAACTTTAATTTTACCTTCTTTCGTGTATTTAGTATTTTTTTTAGTTTAAAAATGATGTTCTCTTATATAAATTGTTCTTCTGAGTTTCATAATAAATTGAAACCTCTGACCATTACTGTATTAGGGAAAACTTGAAAATATATTTAAAGTTTATATTTGTTTTCCTGAATACTTTACTCTTGCTGATAATACAAGGAAGTGACCTTAAATGGTGAATATTGTTTAATATTATTATTTGTTTTTCTGAAGTTTGTATTGTAATAGTTGCTCTCCTTTGGTGAAAGGCAGTGTGTGTTCATCAGTAAAGCTGTGATACACATGAGAGGAGTTTGAGCAAATTCTTCAACAAGCTCTCTGGCTCTAAAATCAAGAGTAGACCTAGACAGGATCCAAACCATAATGGAGTCCATGGGGTCAAAGTTATGTCCTGGAGCTCAGCAATTGATGAATATGGTTAGGTTTCAGCAGTGGGTAAGTAGAAATGGATGACTTTCCAGATACCATTAAAAATTTCAAAATAATGGCTTTTTATAAGTACATGTAGTGATGTAAATTTTTTCTTTGAAATTTTGTAATTGATTTAACTGTTACCCTTATTTACTTGTGTAAAAAATAACATTTCATAGACTTACCCTCCTACAAAATATTTTGACTACAAATCTTCACACTTTTTCATGAATTCATTCACACATTCATTCAGCAAGTATTTATTAAGCACCTTAGTGGACAAGGCACTAGTTTGAGTACATTTCAGGATGCAAAGATGATCAGTTTATAATTTATCTTTAAGGATTTACATTCTAGAACATATAAATGAGGAAGGATGAAGAAGATTAGGAAAGGCTCACTAAAGGAAGTGGTATTTTTATCTAGGCCTGTAAAGGACAGGATTAGGCAAGTAAATTGGAAGAAGGCCAATTCAGACAAAAAATTGGGTGAATAAAATCTTCAATGCTAGAAGAATTGGATGTAGCTGAGGAATGAGTAGTAGTTCATTTCTCTGAAAAAGAAGGGTAATAGGGGAAGTTTAAAGTAGATTTCAGCTAGGTCATAGTGAGAGCTTTGAATGCTACTTCATTTATTTTTTGAGATGGAATCTCGCTCTGTTGCTCAGCTGGAGCGCAGTGGCACGACCGGGGCTCACTGAGAATGAGGGTCTAAGATTGAACATAGTAACATGATGCTGGATGGTGAAATGCTAAAACAATGAAACTGTTGGGACTTTACAACTAACTTAATATTGGTGTTGTGGGAGAAAAATAGAATCAGATGTGAAATTGAGGCTTTTTTTTTTTTTAATTTATTTATTATTATTATACTTTAAGTTGTAGGGTACAAGTGCATAACGTGCAGGTTTGTTACGTATGTATACTTGTGCCATGTTGCTGTGCTGCACCCATCAACTCGTCATTTACATCAGGTATAACTCCCAATGCAGTCC